TGGTCTAAACCGCCTCTTATCTCTCCCTATCTTTTTCGTGACAAGCTCCGGGTGAGATGAGATGACCGAAAGCAGGTCGATCCGACGAACTAGGGGACTCGGGCAAATGTACCAGAATGCCCTATCGTTGATCATTCATCGTCGCGGAGAATAACCACGTCCAAATTTCCAATTTCCAGTCTACGAATCACGGGCCATCGCATGTATATCGTCACAAATGGCCCAAACCAGTCTGTGCGGTGCTCGCGATCTGTTGTAATCCAATCAGCCGCATTCCATCGTTTCTAGAACTAATAGTCATGTAACGCTCCCAAACGGGATGATCTATCTTGGAGTCTTATTCACGGAAATTTCTATAATTAGCCAAGGGCGGAAGCAACCCCAGATTGAATACAAAATGCATTTTTGAAATTGGCATGTTTAGGGTGGTCCGAGGTTAGAAAGGCGCGGTATTTGCGTGGTGGGCCATACCAGGGAGGCCCTTGGCGCTTACAACACGGTCCTCTTGAATTGCCCTCGCAAGTATGACAGGATTAGGACCTTAGGCACAGGATTCAGGCAGCAACTTGAGAGGTTTACATCGAGATTATTAGGATCTATACTAGGAAGGTTCTAGGTTTCTACTTTACGGGTCAGGATTTCTAGGCTACAGTTTGCGAAACGAGGGTGTGGATAATGTGCGGTTCCTTGAAATGGAGAGTCGAGGGTGACAGTATGAATTTTAAAATACAATGTCCGTCCATAAGAGGCAGAGTGTGTCATGAACAATATCAGCGATGAATGGTTAGCACAAAGTTAAAGTCGTCCCTACTACACATGATCATTGGGCGATAGCCGATCCCTTGTTCGAGGCTTAGGTGGTGGGTCATCAAAGTCCAAGAATGAAGAAGTCTTCGGTGGACCTAAATCTAGGAACGAGGCCGAGAGCGGAAGCATTTGTGAAGGCGGCGATGATGGCATGAGCGGGAACGGGAACAAACCCCCATGAGGGCTGACGTCGGTGGCGGTCCCCATAGAATACATCGACTCGGAAGAGGCACTACTCTGTGGCACAGCAGGGGCCTGAAGTGGGGGAAGGATGATAATTTGGGGGGGCGGAGATGTACACGAAGTCACAGAGGCTGGAAAGGAGTATGGGCGATGCGGTGGGGGTGTATTGACGTTTGGGGTTATGTTAGGTGGGCGAGCCGATACAATGGGGGAGTTCTTGGCAGGTACTTGGGGTTTGGGAGAACCGGGGCGTGAGGTGGCATCTGCATATGCGCGGGAGATGACCAGGGAATCAGGCTGCAGGAATCCACTAACATCCTGCAAGGCCAACATGTTCGCCCCGTCCAAGAATGAGCTTTGATTCTGATAAAATTTGGGAGAATTTTCGACTGGGAATGACGTGATCATAGAGCCATGCGACAGGTCATGACGGAGGAAACTGCCAAGATCATGGAAGACAGGCATTTCAATGCTGTCAAGCGAAGACAGTGGCGAGAACTCCTTGAATTTTGGTTTGGGTGGTCCCATGTCAGACTCAAAACTGTCGTCTGAATTCCTTGTGAAAGCATTGTCACGTTGCATGTAAACACTATTTTTGGGCGTAGTAATTGGCAAGCCTGTCGTACTATCAAAGGAAATTTTTAATACTGGCATATATTTGAGAGACAGTTGAAGGTCACGTACGCGTCCGAATCCTTCACGTTTGACTTTTCAAATTTGCGAAAGCACAAGCAGCGTATGATGGCCATATAGGCCTTGCTATAGTTTTTTCTTGCTTCCGAAGCGAATCCAAAGAAAGCGAAAAATAGTAACCCATTTATTACTACGATCCAGCGGGGCAATTCAAGCATTGTCAACCTGTTTGGGTCACTGCGCCATATAGTGGCGGGTTGTTGGTCGATCTGTGAAAAAGCTACATCATCGGTCAATCACCTCTTCCCCCCGAAATCAGAATTCAAGAGCTTACAGAAATGAATATTATCCCAGGATACCCATGGTTGAAACCCAAAGTTCACAGAATAAATGATACTAGCGGCAACGATGAAGCAAGTGAGAACGACATTTATACCGGCCAGACACATGAGCCGGAGGTATCGATTTGGACTGGGTGCAGAGGTTGAAGACAAGAGAATCCTCAGTTCAATTTCTCTTCTTTTAAACGCAATAGCACTAGCAACTTTTCTTCATGTCAGGCGCAAGGGAAATTTTTCGAAAAACAGTCGGAAACATACTTGAGTAAGCACCAGAAATGACCGTTATAATAATAATAGGGACTTGAGTGACAAGAAGGGCAACCCAGGTGTTTTGATTATTAGGCATGCACCCAATGTCCTCGAAAATGTCGAAACGGTGACTTTGAGATATGTACTCTGCGAGGGTAACGTTAATTTAGAGGTAGAGTTAGAGACTTGAATATATGAGAAACGTACGAAGAGCCATGACTACAAAGGGGGCGCCAACTCCGATACACAAGTCAATCATAACGTCTCGTCGTTTCTGACCACATTTATCAACGCCCGAATAAAACATTCAACTGGAGCGACTCACCTCGGCTTTGGCTATAACAACCTTGCGGATATTTGCAATTTTATACAATCTTCTGTTTATACACAATGACGCCGCGGGTAATCCAATGGTAAGTCCAACCATAAACTTTGTAGCTGGGGCAAAGCAAGATTAATATTGGGGATGTTGGAAGAGTTAGTTAATTGACCCACATATATCACACCACACCGAGGCCCAGTTGACAGTATTCCCTTCCCATATGACAGAGTTGACAAAATAGAGGAGATTCCCCAAAGCCGTCCACACAATGTACAGACACATTCCTGCATTCCAAGCTAGCAAAGGTCAGCGTTGTACCTCGGTGAGAGATATATTTGTACAATGTACATACCTTCGATGTGCCAAAAAAGTGGAATAGATGCTAGAACAAGAGTAAGAAAAGAAAAGATAGAGAACACCGCGTTTCCAGCCGACATCGTCTCGCAGAGCTCAGATTCTCGTCAAAGTAGTGGGTGATGGGTCCTCAAGACCTCGAAGGACTAGTCGTGTTGACACCAGACATCATGTCAGTATTGATAAAGCAACGCCTCCTGCGCAAGTTAGGGGGGTTGTTGTTCTCAAGATCGGCTCTTCACTCTATGCAGAGTTCTATCTTCGGATGCGCTGTTTGGGGGGGCGACCCTGGGGGATGTGTTGTTCTCGCCATCACTTGGGTGGACTTGTTCTTTGTTCGACTTGAAGCTTGACGCGTTTGACGTGAGTGATAATTGGATTTCAAGTAACAATAATGTAATCAGGACGCGACGTTTGGAATGGAAGAGCCAGCTCGTTTCGCTAAATGAAAGCAAAGCCTTCCCATTGGCTAGTTTTCCCATAGCCGAACACTCGGCTTGAGCTGCCAGTACTTTCTTATGCTCTTTGTTCCCAAAAAAAAAACAAGGCTGATACATCCCCAATAAGTGAGGTCCTGCTCATCAGAAACTACTCAAGGACATCATCTGCAAATATAGCGACCCTGGGAATCCCATCCTCTCTAATCACTCCACGATACATTCCTGGACAATTCAAGGGCATTGCAACTGGTGGTGGTGTATAAGGTCGCGAACACAGAAAATAGCCAAAAATATTATCACTTGCCATTTCCTGCATTATCTAGGGCAATGACGCCTCCCAGCCCACCATCTCGAAATAAATCTTTGACGACCTGTTTGGCGGCTCTCTTCAAGGGTTCATGCAGATACCTGACTCTTCTAGCTATGGTAGCGGCAGTCGCTTGTCTGATAAAATACTATAAATCTTTTAGTTGGGGTGGGACACTTGAAGAACGCCAACATACGTCTCCGTCGCCCGTCCCGGATACACCGACTGCACGAGCTTTGTGCCTTCCTGTGAGCTTGGCCCAAAGATTGTATCTCCACGGGTCTCTCTTCCATTCTTCAGCCCAGAAACCGCTACCCATCGAGGGTGTGTCCCCAATGCGTCCCACTGACTTGTTGGTCCTCCCTCCTGTTGAAGTGACAGCAGCAATACAACCTCGCATATCCAATGCGACCGCACCCACAGTGCCCTTCGGTAGCTGGTCAAGTGCCACTGGTTCCGTGCCTGAATTAAGATGGTCAGGTAGTGGTTCCTCAGGCAGTCCCAACCCCCGACGGTGCTCTCTCCATCTACGTTCAGTGAAAAAATAAGATGGGTCAACCATCTCCTGTCCTAGAGTCTCTCCAAGACTTTCCGCTGCTGGTCCTGAGAGAAAAGTATGCGGCGCCAAAGACGGGGACAGATACAAGGCACGAGCCATATGAGATGGGTTACGGGACCGGGTCAGGAGTGTTAACCCTAAGCCCCTGCGAGACGAGGGGATGTTGGGGTGAGACGCTGGAGGCTTTGAAAGCATGATCGAAGCCTCCAGTTCATTCTGAGATACCATATGTTAGGCTAGAGTGCATAAGTATATATGGGCCTCACCTTCCCATCAATATTGAATACTGCACCTTTGGCACAGTTGAACAAAGGATTATCTACGACGATCCAAATGAGTAATATTCAAATGCTGAACGTCATACTGACTGACCTTCCATGACCGCTACAGCTGCTACAGCTGCATCCATAGCTTCGCCTCCATCTCGGAGCACTTTATATCCCTGAGTCGAAGTGAGTAGGACAAGTAAAGTCTGATTGCTGATACCCTTACTGCTTCTAGAGAAGCTCGCAACGAGGCTCTATATGCTGCCTGCTGCTCTGGAGTCGAGCCTTCTCTTAATATTGTCCCTGCCCCTCCATGAATAACAAGGGCGTATATCTTTCGTGTCTCGGGAGACAGGAGAAGGGGCTGCTTTTCTGCCAGCGAGGGCATGTGGCTGAGAAATATGACTTATCCATTTTATGTTGGGAATTTATGTGCTGGGAACTTCGAAGTGAGGTGTTTAGATCCGAAAAGGTGAAAGCAATATTTTAATTTTCTAGACCAACTCATTATTTAGCTCATAAAACTATTACATATCATGGTCACTTTGCCGGAGTGGTTAACGGGATCGCCTGCTACCAGCTGTTCATTCAGCTCAGTCAAGCGGTTGGTCTTTGACCGCGAGTGTTCGAATCGCTCAGGTGACGCTTTTTATTTGCCGAGGTAATGCGTCGCAGCGCTCAACGAGAAAAGCCGAAGTCCCTACCAAATAATCTTTCGTCACAAACCACCAAACATGAGTGGGAACAAGTACGCTGATCTTCCAGATATCGTTCGTGCCGGCCTTAAGTCGTGTTCTGTTTGATGTTTTGCTCAATATACGCGTCCAGGACACTGCGCCAGATATCTACGAAACCGAGGATGTGTTCCCCACGTCTCAGGCAACTGTACGTTCTATTATGTCCATAAGGCGCCAGTTTACCATCCACGAGATTATAGAGAGGTGACTCTAGCGATGAGGAAGGTGCCCCACCCCAGCGATCAACTGCAAGGGGTAGGAACGAAGTTAACGGGAAAGAGGAGATCGATTCTAGCAACTTGATAGACCACGAAGAAGCAAGCAAGGTATTCCGGAAAGCAGAGAGGAAACGCGGTGAGCAACCCTCATTAGTATCCTATCATGTATATACGTCTTATTGCGCCGTGACAGAACGTCTACGGACCTACTATGCTTACCCTCCGTCGCCTTCATCACCTTCATCACCAACAGGTCCCTCGGCCAATGCGCGTCCGGTCCCTTTATCGCAGAGGCTTCGAGCTCTTCAAGCAGAACTAGCAGCTCTAGAGGCAGAGATCGCAGATCCATTAAACCCACATCTTGTCAAAGAAAAGGAAGATGATAAAGTCGATCCAGGCGAGTTAATTCGCGGCCTGGTTGATGTACGAGGAAGATTAGACAAGATCAGGAAAGGCAAGGAGGGTCGAGGAAAACTTGTAGGAGTTGTCCTTGGTGAGGAACCAGCAAAGATAGACGTGGACGAAACATCCAAATCAGATCCAAAGAAAGAGAAGGAGGATCATAACCCAAAATCTGACCTACAAAATATAGTAGATATGGATCATCGCGTTGGGGAACTCGAGAAACTGGTTGGTTCTTCGAGTACCACCTTGGACGAGGTATGATTCGCGCTTTTCATTTCGTCTTGTCTCGAGGGCTTAACTGGTATCGCCAAAACCAGACATCGCCTTTGCCACCACCACTTCTTCCCCTCATTACACGACTCAACACGCAACTGACCCTCCTCACACAACCCCGCCACATCGATTCAATCTCCCGACGGCTCAAGCTCCTTCTCTCCGACCTTGATCGTGCATCTGTCCAACACCATTCCCACCGGCGTCATCCCTCGCAGCCTGCTGCACCTTCATCATCTTCACAGATGCAAGAACAAATTCTGCCCCTCCTATCTCGACTAGGTCCCTCTCTTCCTCATATACCTCATATTCTCGCGCGCCTCCGAACACTTTCTTCACTACATACATCCGCGGCCGAATTCCAAGGCACCTTGGAAGGCTTAGAGCAGGAACAGCTGAAAATGCGAGAAGCATTGAACGAACTTGAAGGGGCGGTTGAAACAGTTGAAAAAAGTCTCGAGGATAACCGAGGAGTTATCAAAGGAAATGTGGCAGGATTGGAGAGTCGAGTCGAAGCCCTACTCGAAAGATTAGAACAATTGAGCCGGACTGACGACAGCTGATTAGCTTTCACGCTCCACGATACCCTTCTCACATAAAAATTTGATATAATAGGGCGCGCTCTTTGACAGTCATCCATGATAATACATATATTGGGCTATAACTACATAAGAAGGCTGGAGAATGAGAGACTGGATGCTATTAAGTTCATAAATATGTATGTGAGAGAAGAACGACAAATGTGGGCAATATCACAGCTATGTCATTCTTCTCCGATTGTCTGGTTGGGGCGAAGTCATTCCCACCATACGCTCCACAACAGCCTATCAAATCAAACATAAACTTTCATCATATTCTTTCTAACAAAAGGACGACATACCTGTGCCTGGTCCCAGTCTAACGGCTCATCCTCTTCCTCCTCTTCTGCCGCCTTGCCGATATCCTCATGACCAGCTCCTAATCCCCAACCACCCACGCTCGCCCTAGCAGCCGAACTCTCCACATCTGGACTCCTGTAAAAAGAACGAAACGGACCAAGTTGAGATTGGCACAAGGAAAAAAAGGGCAAAATCAAAGCACCTCAGAGCCTCTAGGAACTCTCGCTCCTTCTCACGTTCTACATCTACCATGTAACTCGATGACCCGCCCCGCGGGGTCTCATCTCCCAACATATCATCATCTTCTCCGGAGCCAATACCGGCTAGATGCGTTGGCCCCTTGCCCTTCTGTTTTTGAGCGATCCGCCCTCGCCTATCCCGAGGTAAGCCGCCCGACAGGAAACTTGGAGCCCGTGTTAATGGGCTCAAAGGACCCATCTTCGCCTGCATCTTTCCATCGAATTGAGATCGGGGGCTTCGGACGACACGCAATAGGTCGGTGATGGCGGCTTCACCAGGTGTTGGTTGGGGCGCTGGCGTGGTCAACGAGAAAGTCACCGGCCTCTGTCGCCGTTGGGAGGTGAGAACAAGAAGCCTAGACGAAATATCAATGATGGTCCATAGAAATTTTTAGGGCATATACAGACATTTGTTGTAGCCGTGGCTGTTGGTAGGTCGATGTTTCTTGGTAATTATCTTGTCGGTTCGGCATAGCTAATCGGGTGTAGAGGCGGGGGAAAAGGGGGAGTATAACTTTGTCACGGAAGGATCGCAACGCGACGTTGCGGACATCAATATGGTATGTCGAAATTGGGAAGGTACTATTTAGTGAAGAAGATACAGAGTTGCCTTGTCGGCTAGGGGATGTCGCCCGGTGGTGTGGTTTCGGGTTGCGGTATAATGAAGATAGAAGGGAGTCTGTTTGGAGGGGAAGAAGAACCTGAAGGCGGCTATAAGCCGACATGTTATGGTTGAGCTAGATGTAATAAACTTGCCCCTTCAACGTAGGTTAACACCTGATCCCAAAAAAAGCCCCATATTTCTACTACTCGCGCAACGAGCTTCTCTTCATCGATCTCCGTAAGCTTTGCGTTTAGAGTGACCATGCCGGATGCGATCAACTCCGACGCGTCATTTTCAAGGGTTGCGAGAGCCTTAGGCGGTGATGAAGATACTACGGATTGAATGTGACGTTTAACCAGCACATTCAGGTCCTCGCTGATAATATATAAGCATAGTCCAGCTACAGCACCGATAATGGATAAACATACATCGGTATCCTCAGGGGCTCCCCATTAAATAACGGCAGCACATGAACATGTAGAGCTCCCCATGGGTCGGCAGTTGAATTAGATGACATGCTGGCTTGAGAACCAGTAGGAGGAAGAGCCAGAGATGCTACGGAGGGTGCACTGGCTATCGGGGGTGCCAGCGCCGAAGGTAAGTGTGCCAGATTACCTAGTCGATGCATCTCGCGGGAGACAAGCTTCGAATCATATGTGCGCCCGTATGAAGCCTATAATAAACCAGGTGAACATAAGAAGCTGATCTAGCATAGCCACGACTTGTTCGGAGTCTTACCTTGGATGGCGACGTGTGAGATTTGGAAACGTTCGACAAGCTTGAAGTGGCTGCCATCGTTGGCGATGGTACAGTGGGGGTAGACGCCAAAGCTGACTCGTTCCGGGTATGGCTGTGTGGATGGAGTAATTGACTCGGGTGTAAAGAGCTCTTTAGGTTAGCAGCGGAGTGGCCTGTTCCTGAAAGGGAAGAGGAAAGTTTGTCGGCAAAAAAGCCGAGACGTTTCGAGGAGCTAAAAACGTCTTGGGAGGAGGTCAGGACATTCTTGTTAGGATCCTGGTCGTTGTTAGATGTTGGCGATGAAAGGAAGCGAGTAGTGGCTGGGGTTTGGCGTGGGGTCGCATCACTGGACGAACGGCGAGGTCGTTCTGCGGTATCGTCTGGAGAAGACGATCTGCTGCGTTTGGATTGTGTAGGGTTGTGGTCATGCGATCTTCGCGGAGCATGGAGGTGAGTATGAGTTGTAGCCCATCCTGATACCATGTTGATTAACTTTAGTCTTTGCCGCCTCAATCGACGTCGGCTTGCTCAACGCCAGCTTTGCGCTGACAACGTGGTTCACCTGGGAATGTCGGGAGCGTCCGTTGCAATAATAGCCAGATCACGCTCATTTCTTACCTCACAACAGCTCACAACCCAAATACCGTCCCCTTCTCTGCCCAATATTACGACGAGATAAAAACTATGTCCTAGCGCCCTTGGCCACACATTTACGTTACGGCACGATGGATCACGATGAAGATCTTCTCAACCTTCTGTAAGAGGACTCCACGTGAGACCAAGGCACCTGTTTGATGAACATACCGATAGGCACTCTCCGATCCCTTGACTTGCAGTCCATATATGCGGGTCGTTTACAATCATAAAATATCATACAAGACAAATATTATTCTGCGGGCGCCACCCGAAAACATCTCCAACACCCACGGTTGAAGTTGGGAGCCTACAACCCCTCGACTCTCCATTATCTTTATTTATTTATTTATTGGACACTAGTAAAGGACAAGTAAAGGAATCGATTTTATCCCAAAGAGTCTGTTTGCGTGGAGAGATGTCGTCACACGTACGGGAACAAAAGTATAGTCACTTTGCCGGAGTGGTTAACGGGATCGCCTGCTACCAGCTGTTTATTCAGCTCGGCCAAGCGGTTGGTCTTTGACCGCGAGTGTTCGAATCGCTCAGGTGACGTTTTTTGCAGTCTTAAATTTCGATTTGCACTGTCTGTGATCTCAAATCCCAAACCAGTCATTTGTATGTAACTCCCTTTATAAGCGGCGGCACCTTTAAATTTTTTATTTATATTCATGAATATACCTCTTTTCACATCAACTATAGCTAATTATCATCCCAATCACATCCAGATACCCAATTCTAATTATGTAGCAGGATTAGTTTGAGCCCCTTAAGTTTTCAAAGCCCTCATTTCCGGTCCGGCATCCGATGAACATCGTGATTTTTGAAATTTGAGGTTGAACTACTTATTCATGTTCTTTTTCTCCCGATACCCAACAACTCGCATTCTTCACCTCCATTGTGTCGCTCGACGCCACTTT